CCGTCCCGCGCGCAAGCGCTGCCCCACTCTCTCTCTCTCTCTCTCTCTCTCTCTTTCTCTCTCTCTCTCTCTCTCTCTCTCTCTGCAGCTGTGCAAAAACACCACCCCATCTTGCAGCTCATGAGACCTTTCATATTCTTAAAATTATGCATCTTTCCGGTCCCTGACGAAGCATGGCCAACAACCGCCATGCAGTCCCTGCCTTCCCGTGCTGGTCGGAGTCGTCCTCGCAAGACATTCGGAAGTGGAAGCACCCCACGCAGGCCCCGAACGTGCAGAGACCCAGAAAACGATGTTGCACTCAACAGATTCATCAATGTGCAGGGAGACAGTAGGGCCCTGGCGCCCGAGATGCTCGCTGTGAAGACCTTGGGCTCGGGGAGGCAACATGAAGGCAGAGTGCAGGGCATCGGTCGCCCAGTGCTTTCGCTTCTTCGCTCAGCCCAGCACACTCGACGATACGGCGCCTCTCCGAACAGAAAGGCAATGACTGGCGCAAGTCAATTGGACTTGGGGGCAGCCAGGCGGCGGAGGACGAGGAAGGGCTGAGCTCTCCTCGTCGATCCTGAGAGAGTCCCGTCCCCAGACACTCCATCGTGAGCAGAGGGTGCATGCTGTTCCTCGCTGAGCAAGGTGGGCTCTAAGCTCCATGCTTCGGATAATCGGGATGATGCAGACGACCTTACCATGGCTCCAGGCTAAAAGGCACGCACTCTCATGCAGCTGCCATTCTTGGGGTGCTGGGGTGCCGACGGGGAGGACTCGGGTCCCGAGGCCTCGTCGATCGGTGTGGGTCCTCGAAGAGATGCTTACTTACCAAGCGTGCACAAATGCGGGCGTGATGTAGATGCAACTTGTTTGCAGCCCAGGCTCCATGTCTGGAGCCACGGTCCATGGAAGTGCACAGAACGGAAAGCTGCAGATGTTTAAGGACTCATAGTCTTAGTACCGCTGGGTTTCTTGAAGGTTTGACAGTGTCGTTGTGCTGCACCATGAGTGAGAGCGGACCCCGCTTTTGCTGTCTTTGGACGAACGTGTGCTATGCCGCCTTCGCAAAGCTCCACGAAACATTTTTCCGAGCAGTCTTGCTGCCTGGTTGCGGTCCTGTTGCTCCGGTCATGATCTCTCTTTCGTCTAGGAGGCCTTCTCGAGCCTAGATACAAAGGCGCATCGTCCACAAGCACAGGTGGCGATCCGAGAAGAGCCGACACATGACGCACGGAGGAGATGTCCAAAGCTGCTTCGTCAGCACTCCGGATCCTGATTGGGGATCAGGCGGCACCTGCATCCGGGGTGCCGGCCCCAGCTGCTGGCTTAGCGGGTTCACCACCTGCCGAGGCTCCGGCATATTGCTCTCGGTACCCGGAAACAACACGAATCTAATCTCAACATATTTTCTACATCTCTGAAGTCTGAGATACAGGCCGGTTGCCCAGCCATAGTTCCCTGGCACGTCCACGTCTGACACGAAATGCGAGAGATCCAGTTCCCATGCGATGATGGCTGCCCGGCATGCATCAAGACCACCCACAAGCATCCACAACATGCTACTGTAGCCCACTCCCCACTTGTCACTAGACTCAAACACATGGCCGTGCCTCTGCCGCAGCAGATCCTAGGAACTGTTCCTTCTGTAACCAGCTGGGCCCCAATGGCGGCAAAAGTCACGAGCTCCGTGCGCAGGCAATTGCCATGTCAGTGCTCAACATGTGCAAAGGCACGATGAAACCAGCACTCACAAGGTCTCTGCAAGGACACTATGCCTGTGGCACAAGGCACCGTATTTTGTCAGCGATCCTCGTCTGGCTTGAAATCAGCCGCTACCGTTGGCTTACAGGGCGATGTTCATGAACTTCTTCTTTGAGAACTGGAACCTCGACAGTTCCAATCTTGCATATGTTCCGCTCTGAAAGCTCATCCAGCAACACTTGCAGTTGCAGCTTTGATTCGGTGATGCGAAGCTCACCCTCGAAAGCTTTCTCTCCCTCTCCCTCTCCGATACAAATGCGACAATCTCAGCCTACCACCACCATTTGTTCGGCTGTCCGTCTGGATAGAACAAAGGCAACAGCCTGGACGCCGTCTCCTGGCAGTAGTGTGGCTGCAGGGCGCTGAGCGGTGTTGTCAGACTGTAACTGTAGTTGGGGTAGAGCGGCTTCAGACCCCCACTTCGCAGTTTCGTGGGTGCTGCAAGGACTGCAACGTGCCTGCCGAAGCTGCTTCAGGTAGGCCTGCCGCAGTTTAATCTAGGACTTCGGTCGGGCTCGTAGCCTGGAAACGTCCCTCCTGCTCCGAGAAAAAAAAGACGGCGGGGCCTTGGCCATTTGGCAATCCTGAGGAGGCCCGGCTTTGAACCAGCTGCCGAGGATGAACCTAACACAGCTGGTGAATGCCTGCATGACCTGCCCTGACGCGAGCGCTTCGGTCTCTTGGGGCCGAGCCCGGCGTCTCCGGGTCCCGGCAACTCGGAGGCAGCCACCACCTAAGAAACTCCGAAGCAGAGCGTCGCCCCCCCGGGCCCCGATTGGCCCTCCGATCCCCGGGACCTCCAGCTGGCGCGCCGCATCTTCAGCGCTACCGGCCTGAATGCGTCGGGGCCATCTGCGGAGTCTGTGCATCATGTCTGACTTCATGCCAGCAGACATGTTACCCACCTGTGATGCCACCGACAAGCATTTTTGAATCCACAGGGTCAGGTACACCAACACCTGACGGAAAGTCAGCTGTCTATGGCCTTTAGCAGCAGCGGACTCATCGAGGCAACACGAAGCTTGAGGCTTGAATGACCCCTTGGAGCATCTAGCAAGACCCTGACAATTCTCTCCGCGCCTCTCTCATCAGACAGAAGACTACACTTACCCCAAAAACAACGTGAAAAAGAAGGACTGGGCACATCGCCCGATCTGCGTCGCCCAAGACCTGCACGTACAGCAATCGAGCGAAAGGAAATCAAGGGCGAGTGGTTGCAGGTAGCAAGTGACTTCAAACTCTTGTCCGGAATCGACTGGCGTCACAGCAGCTTCTTCGCATGCACACACCTTTCTCCACGGAGTCACGGTCTGTGCGTGGTTTTCAGCAGGTGCACAACTACTTCACCCAAGGTGGCATCGTAACATTGCATGGCCTGGCTGATTCTTGCAGGCTTTGACTCACCATATTCCGCTGAAGACTCTCGTGAATAACTCCATTGCAGGAACAGATTCGTCGGGAAGCGTCTATGCATCATGAATGGCAAGCACATGCCCAAGGAGTGCAGCGTGACAGTCTGCGCGGTAGTTGAACCCTTGCTCACAAACCTGGTAACCCAGGACTTGTGCAGGTGCATTGCTGTGACGTACATCCACATCTTGCTGGGGCAACCAAAGCCAGGCAGAGCCAGCAGAGTGCTAAGCTGCGTTTTCCTGGCAAAGGCTGGCAGTGCCTTCCCCGTCTCCAGCTCTGCAAGCAAGGATGCACGCAAGGCTTGGCGTCCTCTGCACCAGTCTGCCAGAGTAATGCCATAAACATCTTTCACCCACTCCATGGAATAGGCGTAGTGCGTGGTAAACGAGTCTGGTGCTGAGCACCTAGCTGCCACAGAGTGGAATGAAGCAAAGTCTGTGTAGTCCAGAAGGTTGGACCAACTGATTCCCGCTGGGGAGAGCGCAGAAATTCGGCTGATCAGCTGGCAACTGTCGGAAGTCAACTCGTCCTGCCAAATCTCGATCTCAAGTCTTCCTTCCAGGAGCAGCCGTCGGATGCTGTTGAGCTTCTTGCGAATGTCGTTCACGAAGAGTTGGATGATTGAGTCTGCTTGTCCCGGCACAGGGAGGTAGTCCTCCAAACTCATTGTCGCGAAGATGGAGTCTGCATTGTGCAGTGGGAGGGAACCGAAAGACAATGCCCACATAGTGAGGCTACCCACTTCTAGCTGGTCGGCGCTCTCCTCCCTCTCATCGCACACCTCTCCAGTTAGGAAGTATCTGCATGCTGCCAGCCGATCCAGTGGCCGAACAAGACTTGCAATTGTGCAAGCATCCCATTTGCGTGCGTCATTGACAAAGTATTGCAGCCACTGCTGCCGACAGCTTGTGAGGTCCGGTGCTGCAGTGGATTTCCAGAAGTCCACAAGCTGATGTATTCCGGGCTTTTGAGCGGGCAGCTCCAAAGCCGATACGGTTCGCTTGAAGGATGAAAATGTTCCCTTGGACCAAGTTGATGAATACCATACCTGCAAGACATGATTCACGGGAATGCTAGCGTCCTTAAGCATTGCTGCAATGACCAAGGTCTTCGCCACTGCAAAATCGTTCAGGTCGATGCCGACAAAGCGAATGTTCGCAGCTTCTTCCTGTATGCTGGCATCAAGCAAAACACGTAGGTCATTGAATCCTACAGCAACATAAGCGGAGTTGGCGGATATCGACATTTTGTTGGGCGGGGAGTTGCTGAAGTTGGTGCGGAAGTGGTGGAAGTCATGCTGCTTTAGATGCTCAGGAAGTACATCGCCAATCTTCAAGCCATCAAAGCAGGTCCTGGAACTTTGAGGACTGTGTTGTCCACTTATAGTTCGTTGCCATCTCAGCTCTGTCGCGGCCAAGTAGCCATTCAGGAGGAATTCCCAGGCACTCTCCGGTTCAAGCCTTTCCGGCCATGACTTGTTCTCACAGGCTTGGCGAAACTCCATCGGAAAGCATGGTGGTGACCGTCCCTTTGGGCAGTTTGCGAGCAGCCTTGACATGTAAGTCGTTTCCATTTCAGGACAAAACTCCTCGAGGTTGTGACCTTTGATGGAAACCGTACCCTGCACCGAGACCCCATTTTCTGCTTCCAGCTGCACCTCCCAGCGTCCCGCCGACAGAATCCACTGCAGGATCCTTCCGTAGCGCCCGTTGAGCTCAGGGCGAGCTCTAAGGCCTCTGACCCGAACATAAGCTCCTTTCATCATCCTTGGGTAAATGCCAACCCAAGTGCCCAACGAGACCAGATCTCTTGAGCCCTAAGCATGGAGGCACTTGCCTACTCGACAAATACTCATCAAGCTCTCCTTCCACTTCACGCCTCGAAGTTCTTGAAGAGAATGTTCCACCGAAAGCTCCTGCGGGCAGGACCGGCAGGCGTCGGCTTTTTCTTTCTCGAGTCCAATCCACGCGCTGCTGCGCGCACTCTCCAGTCGATATTTTCGAGTCCTTGGCGACCCCTCGGGGCTATTGGGATGCCCACCCGAGACAAGTGTTGCCAGTCAGCTGGGTGACACTCGCCCAAAACGACTGTCCAAGAAGCTAGGGTTTATGATCCAAGCCCATGATTGAACTCCCTGTGCAGTAATCACTCGGGTCCTCAACGCCTCGTCCACCAAGTCGACGAACTGTCAGGGTTTGATTGTGTCAAAGGTGTGCAGCGCTGAGCCTGCATTTCTTGCATACAATTTTGTGAACCTGGCCTCCTCAGTGAGGCCCAGAGAAGCAGGAGTGGGAGCAGGTCCTGCCAGGGCAGCCTCATAAGTTTCCGGACTGCTGGGCCTTCACTGAAGCTCATGAAATCTTGAACAGGCAAGTGTACTGTACGGCGAGGAGAAGACGCGGCAAACTGGCGAAGAGTCCTTTAAATCTGGCCGTCTTTAGGGGCACCAAAGGGCAGCCACAAACGCTCACTGCGTTGCTGCCGTTGTGCCTCGCGAAAGCGCGCACAGATCAGGCGAATTGTACTGTGCCCAAGGTCTGGCACCTGGAATGGTACACTGGCATGGGCCCTTAACTTGCTGCAAATGCATGCAAATGCCCTGTTGTGAAAACTCTCCTGGAGTTCAAAATTCTTTGGCTGGCTCCTGATATCTATTCTTTCGGATTCTATCGGTTGTTGAGAACGGTCGTGCTTGACTTAATCCGGTCCTACAACGGCTGAACCGGCTTGCGTAAAGCCAAATGGCGGCCCGAGATGTCGCCGATAACAGTGTACCAAACAACGACGACCAGACATTGAAGCAGCAGAACAGCACATTGATTCAATTGATATCAACCAACACGGAACCACGCTTGCGACTCGCAACCCAGGGGCAGCAGCAGCAGCAGCAGCAGCAAAGATACGACGACAACAACCACCACCACCACCACAACCACAACCTGCGTCCCTGCACATGACAACAACGACACGACTGTTGCGACCTCCCGCTGCTGCCGCCACTGCTGCCGCTCGCCGCCGCAGCGGCTGCTTCTGCTACGAGTAGCGCCACAACCACTGCCCCGCCACCAATGTTGCTCCCAACAACCGACGAGGACTGCTTTGCTAGTATAACTACCACTCTGCCTTCTGCTGCAATTATTTTTCGGATACTACAGTTACTACTACCCGTCAACCGTAACCACAACCACAACACGACAAAAACAGTGCTACCAAGGCCAACAGCACCAACAGCACCAACAGAGCAAGACTCTTTGCGTGAATCTGAAGCGTCCAGTGCATAGAATGCCACTTGAGGCGGGGTCTGTGAACTTTCCACCAATCTGCATAGTGGAAAATGCGCAAGACATGGACCCTGCACGGACGTTTACGAGGAAGGTACAACGTCGACACAAACTTCGCTGCGTTGCCCGGCAGGGAGCTGTAGGGCACCGTTGGTACCATGCAATAGCAACCGATAGATCAGTTGAACGGGTACCGGTAGTGGAACATTGCAGTAGTCCAGATGGTAATATCGATTGCGTGGCAGAGCCCCGCTTCAATCCAATCAAGAAGAAATCCACCCTCGCATCTCGACCTCCATGCGAATGGAGATCAGCTTGCTTCAGATCTCCGCCCCCTTTTCGGAGGTCCCCCAAACAGCTCTGCTGAGTGCAAGATGAGGCCCCACTGCGCAAGCGAGGTGACTCGCTGCTCGGCCAGTTGGCCCGCTTCGCATGCCCTGCGCTCTGCTTAGAACTCTAAGTCGTCCTACCCTTTACTCAAAAGGTGCTCCTCTTGCAACAGTGGTACACTTGGTACACTCTTGGTACTGGAGTATCAGGGCAGCTTTGGCAAGCAGGGACCAAGGCGAGCCTGCAGGAACTGCACCGTTCCTTTGCAGTGCGAGCCAGCAGTGGAAACACACCATCTGCCTGCTGCAAGGCAACCCAAGACTGAAAAGCTGCTTGCGGTGGAGCAGAATTGCTTCGGTTGGCAGAGGCAGCTGGGGCAGCTTCCGGCCAGTCTCGGGCGAAAACAGCAAGGCTGCTCAAGCAGCTGGAACCTAGTCTAACGCTGCACACGCTGTGCCCACAATCGATGAAGCCATACCAAAGCAGTGGCAGAGCTGGAAGAAGCCTAGGCTCCCTGCACAAGTACACGATGCACGATGTACGTTGCTAAGTCAGACGTTCTGCCCGCGTTGCTTCGCGAGCAGCGATTGAAGGAAGCACGAGCTTTAAAAGAGAGGATTGTCAGCCAGCCAGGCTCCTTTGCATGTCTCGCATAATCACTAGTCACAGCCACCCAAAAGCTTTGAGATCGTCCGCTTCCAAAAACAAACATGATTAGGCGTCCGACTGCTGTGGTAAGCCTCACAACAACTTCTTGCACGACTGAAGGAAGTGCTGAACGTATTGATGTCTTGTTATTACACGCATCGTCTACTCGCTATGCACGTTTGTATCTCCTAACAAGTGCAAAACTTGCAAGCACCTGGTGGCTTGAAAGGGCCGATAGGCCTCTCACTGTAAGGCGTGCCATCCTCTTCCCACGTGTTGCCTCTTTCCCGGACCAACTCTTGAACATTTTACTTCAGTGGGTACAGTACAGCCCTGAGGTAGGCACCCGCACAAAGCTCATCACGGCTCGCCTACAGGCCCTTTCAGGCCAGCTTGACAGCTTATGTACAAAAGCCGACTCACCATCACGGTGAGACTGCACGCCCGGAGCAAAAACAAGCGAAATAAGTCGTATCGTTCAACTTTGATGATTCGATAGGTGTTCGGGGTGTTTGGCTGCAGGCCCCTTCTTGGAAGAGTGCACATGGCGCCACTCCAAAAGCGGAGAGCACGGCGCTGAATTGCAGGACGAGAGGTTTACCATGTCGGTGTGATCGCCTGTGCAGCTGATGCAACCATATGCAACCCTACTGCTCGTCCAGCATCTCTTCTACCAGCCAACTCCGATTACCTTGCTGCACTTCAAGTTCATGGAAACCTCTGCCTGCTGCCCTGACGGGAAAATTTCGCCTTGCCAGCAAAGCCAGTTCTTGACAAAGCCAGCGGCTCCGCTTGTGGTGAAGAGAAAGGCTGAAACGAAACATCTTCTCAAACAGAGCTATCCGTACCCTTTGTCACCTTGCACTCTCACCAAAGCACAACATGCACTCAGTCTCAGAGGACTGTCATGGCAAACTGGCGAAATATGCTGTTATGATCAGCGGGATCAATGATCAATGCTCGGCAAGGACTGTCAAGTCTTATGTCGCCAGCCACAAACGACAGTGGTTGCTCCACAAGAGAAGTGTGAGTACTGACTGAAACCATTGTGGCAAGTCATTCCCGAGCACATGCAATTCTCGCCTCGATCCCCAGGTTTCTGCGAACGGTCGGAGGACTGCGCATCAGAGGCTTGCCAATCCAGTACCAGGCTGAGCCACTCCAGAAAGTGCAAATCGAAATGTGGAGCTCGCCGTATATGTTGGGATTCTCAGAACCATCCGCATTGCGAGAAAAAGTCTCTAAATGATGCCCGAAGTTAAAAATTCCTTCGAGTTCATCCTACTTTCGGGTGCTCACCCAGAAAACGATTGAAGCCAGCCTGAACAGGAGCACTTGTCTGACATCGTGTACTACGTAGTGGAGCCAGCCTACTCAAAGTACCAGCAAGACGAACCAGCCAAACTTGCCAAGACGTTTGCAATCGACAATGCAGAACTACGTGGCTACCCCAACTCCTGTCGCACCTCAGAACATGCGCACGTCCTCCTGCATTTCCTGCATCATGAAACATACTACATGAGATTGCAAGTATCTTTGACAGCATGGTCACAAACACCGACAGCCTGATTGCTGCAGAAATTGAAGCATTAGACATGAGTCAGAGCCTCGACATCCTGCATATCGCTGGTCTGCTCCAGCCACACGATACCTGGAGGCTCGCCCTCCAGTTCCTTGGAACACACGGTCCACAACCTCGCACATCTGTTGCCACGACACATCAGCAAAAGAACTTTTGCTCAGGTCCATACCAGCTCCATTTCCTCCAGGTCGTCTTCCCAGGTCCAAGCCTGCGGCTGTTCTGACCCCCGCGAAGCTGTTGGCCGGTGATGATCGGAATTAAGAGCAAGCATAAAACTACCAAGCAGGCGCAACAGCGGCAAAATTGGCCGCTTCCACCTCTTGCATCATACGGGCTAATGGGTAAATCGCGAAGCCATGTGTTGCCTCTATGACACTACGACGTGTGGCGGGGGGGGCATCCCTGGCCTCGTCACCGTTGTTCCATGCAGATTCTTCGACCTTCAGTGAATTCAGAAGTCTAACATCGCTCCCGCCATGAAACCACTCACCGGCCTGGGCTGACTGAGGATTCTCCTCCTCCTCCTCTTCCTCAATCTCTTCCTTGCCGCAGGCTCCGGTGTCGGCAATCACGCTGTGCCGGAGTGTCTATATGTTGCTCAACAGAGCGAACTATCCCCACATGCCATACACAGCAGCTCTTATCTAGTGATCGGTGGATTACCTCGGCTGTAGCTGCAAAATAGCAGTAGGTCTCCGCTCTCTACACCAGTTTCACAGAGATCTTCTTGTTCTCAACCTCAGGAAAATCTCATTTACATCCAAATAATTTGACCCATGCGGCTTCATGAAAAGATTGCCAAACATCCCGTAATAGTTTGAGCGGAAATCGAAGATTGCATGAGTGGCATACGTGGGCTGGCGACAAACTGATGCTTATCCTTTGTTTTACCATGTGTTACTGATACCAGCGCCCTGAGGGGTCCGAGTGCCTTGCAAATGCCAACCACCCCGAGGCAAAGGTCACCAAAATTGCTAGAACCAGAATCCAAAGACTGAAACCGCAGAAAAAAGCCCGCTGGACCAACAAGTCAGACTGCATCCTGACGAGTTCGCTGAAACCATCTGAAACCGGTTCGCACCTGAAAAGCAGCACTACACTTTGGGGCAAGCCAAACCTCACTTTGCTGCCCTTTAGCTTTAACTTTCGCGATGTTTTCTGAGTTTCGATGGACATGCAAAGGAAACTGCCTCGGATTCTCGTTGTCGCCGGCGCTGGCGTGTTCGGGCCTCCTGGGGCAAGAAATCTTCATAACACCCTGTCCTTGCTGGGAGTGACGGCGCCTCTGCAAGAAGCTGCCTCAGCAGCAGCTGGTGGGTCACACAAGCTTAGGGCTGAGAGCATCTACAGTCTACATGGAGAGTGTCTGCATGCTGCCACATTGCCTCACCACGTCGCTTGATGTAAACCACACCCCATACCAGCAACAAGAGACATGACAAAAGGAGCTTGCCTGGGGATTTGCCATAGCTACTGGAACAGAGTGAAATTGGGATCTGGCAAAACGCGTAGCGGGACTGCCATGCGCTGGTCTCGCTCATGGTCAGCATCATCTGGATCACCCTGTCAGCAAAAAAGCAAAATTAAGGCAAAACTTGCCAAGTCCCACATGCCGACCATTAGAGCCATCTCGTGTTTGGAGATTCAAAGAAGCCTCGATGCCGATCGCGTGGCGTTGACCATTGCTCCAAACCTTTGAAGCAAACCCTCTACACATAGCGTGGAGTGAAAGAAGTCTCCAACTTACAGTGCCTCCACAAGTACGTCATCACCAAATTCGTCGACAGCTTCCGGATTGGACAGTGACCTCCGAGTTGGCCAAAGCGCCCTCCGGGCTTGATTTCGGAGGCACCGAGTTCCGGGCCACATGTCCAAGGGAGGGTGCGAGGGGCCACGGTCCGGCGTGCTCCTTGGTCTCTTTTTTTAGGGCTGCAGCTTGTTTGCAAATTAGACTTTGTGGCACTGCGAGGTCCGGCGTGCATGGAGTGAAACATGCCGACATCTTTGTGAAGGCTGCCCAAGCCTGCCCAAGGCCCTGGGACTTCTACTCCGCGGGCACAGGTCCCCGGTACCGGGAGCCCAAGAGCTCAGGAATTTCTTGAGGACCCGGGAAGCGGCCACGGCTCTCGCGAAGTTCTTCTGCCAACTCCGTCTGCCACTTCTCCCTCGGCCCGTCGTGCTCGTAATTCACCACAGCATGCAAGCCGAACAAGAAATCCTGGGTCCACGTGGGCAGAGATCCTGCGGCAAGCAGGATAACGAGACTTACTTAACCATCGGCATCAGGAAAACAGTTCTAGCCGTTCTTAAAGGAAGGGAAATCAAGGGCGGAAGAAGAGAAGCAGTCGCACCTTGCACTTGCTGTGATTCGCCTTGGCTCATTTCCAGCATGCCCATGAAGGTAATTTCCACGAGCAAGAAAACGCAGGGGGCCAGGACCGACGAAGAGAGCGCCATGACGTAAGCGAGGAAAAGCATGTTGAAGGACACCATTACCGTTAGCAGGTGATGATATCGGAACGGGATGGAAACATGCAAGATGTCTTGCAGGTCTTGGTGGCACTCCTTAAACTGCAGTACGCAATCGACAACGTGTTTCACCACCACGGCCTGGGCCGTGGAGGCCTCTAAGCCATTTTGCACAATATCTCTTGTGAAACGAAAGATGGTTATGAAGCGCTGCTGGCTGTTGAGATCTCGTAGCTGCTCCACGTCCTGCTCCCTTGCGAGGCCCATCGACCTCAATTGCACCCACTGTTTCTTCGAGACCTCTGAATACTGCAACTCTATCACCGCCAGCATACTGGCCAAAGCCATCCAGCGACAAGCAAGCCTGTCGTAGGGGCGATCTTGGTCCCTTAGGAACAGTCGCGATTGACAGGCAAAGCCATGAACCACATTGAACATACGCTTGACGCCCATGCAGATCTGCTCGTGTCTGGCCAGGGCATGGTTCGTCGAAAACGTCAGGAAAAAGCTGGTCACGATGGACATCATGGTCAAGTTCTGCGAGTCTGATTCCACATCACCATTGCCCTTCGCCAACCAGCCTTGCTGATAGGCCCCCCAAGTTGCCAAGTGAAGGCCAAAAAAGAACCAGAACTCTGAGCGAGCAAGAAGGCGTGGCACGACAGAGGCAGACAGATTGCATGCAACCGGGAACAGACCCGACAGTGGATCTCCAGCATCGAGGCTCGTCATCGCCCTCGTGCGAGGCAGAAGTGACTGAACATGGCTCTGGCCAAAGGTGGCTACGACCAGAACGGACCTAAACTTATTCGGCTGGCTTCTGAAAGGCTGTCGCATCGACACTCGCTGGGGGCCGCGGAAATGGTTTCCTTGTGCTGTTGTGATTTTCCGTACTTTCCAAACACTTTCGAGCAACACATAGCACAACAGCAAGAGCGAATCAGCTCACACATCCCCCTTCTCTGGGGCCTCTTCCCTGTTCTGGGGCCGCAGACTGGGAGGAGGGTGCCCTCGTGGAGGCGGAGTCCTCCGACCTTCGGCTGAGCTCAGCGAGGCTGAGTGCGGCTCCCCTGTGCTGTTCGCGCATCTGGGCTCTACCAGGCTACCAATGAGGCGGCGGCCCTTCTTCAACATCCTTTCGAAGCGGCGAAGCACCACGATGTCCATACCACGCGACACTGAAGACCGGGTCCTTGCAGCTCTTCGAGAGGACCAAAGCTGAGGGCACCTCTGCACAGAGACGTGCTCTCCCTGAACCGTGCGTTTCCGCAGCAGTACTTCTGCCGAAGTAATGAAAAGCCTGAAAAGCCCAGGGAAGCGCCTCCGTGTGTGCCGCTGGCTGCATTGCCGGAGTGCCGCTGCGAGATGGTTGCCCCTTTGAATCGCTTTTGACGATCTTAGAAGTCAGCACGAATGCACGGAACACGCAAGTCCGCCTCAAACCATCTCCTTGAGCACCATGGGATGATGTGCTTGATCCAAAGTTCAGCAGGAAGTCCCACGATGCCTGCAGCGGCTCAGGTGAGTTGAAGCAGCGTCCAGCCTGCCCCTCACGCGTCGGAGCCTTTGTGCTTCGGCTGACATAGGAGCCCAGTTGCAACTGCTTGCTTGAAGGAAGCCTCAGCGTGGAACTGTGGGCCATCGCCCCTAAGCGGCAGCCAACCTGAGGCCTGGACTGGATAAAGCCAGCTCCTCTCCGGGGTCCTTGGACGCGAGGACGGCACTTGCCTGAAGCCTCCTTTGCTCATTGGCGCTTTCCTGTGCCCGGGCTTGTGCATGCGCGGAACTGCTGAGGAAATAAAGAAGCATCCCCTTTTGCCGCTCTGTACTCTCGGATCATCAGGCCGCCGAAATGTGAGGCAGGCAGCCAAGGCTGGGGCCAAGGGCTCTCCAACAGAGAGAAGGTGAAAGGAACACCGGGAAGACCTGGTATGAGTACTACCGATTGAGAGTGCTTGCAGACTTCCATCACCGGAGTCAGGCCTACGAGTTGATGGTTATCGCCATCGGTAGCATCGCCTGGCTGCAAGATGTTGCAAGACCCCAAGCCGACAGGCTCAGTTGAAGCCCCTGCGACTGATTGCGGTGAGGTCACCGGAAGACACTGTTGCAGGAGTCGTGGTGCCACTTTGAGCCTTGCAAAGATCTGGTGTCTAAAGACGTGTCGACAGCACGTCTTGCTCCGGCTGCTTTCTCAGGGTGGCACAGAGTTGTGAAACTCCTCTGTGTGAGTTCCGGTCCGTGGCGGAGGGGCAAAAGCACCTAGAGCCTCAAACACGAAAAACATGGATGCACAGCCAGATGGCTTCTTTTTCTCCAGCTGCGACGAAGTCGCCATAGATCGCGAAGTGCACTGCATGGGCTCCACGAGACACGCAAATTGAACCTGGAGATGAAGGATTTCAATTGCACGCGGCGGCTGCATCTTGCTGTGAGCTGCATGAACTCGCTGAAGGTCTCAGGCCGTGACAGATCCAAGCACCTCTACGAAGAAGTGGGTCTCCTCAGTTGCAAGATCACACAAGCTTCGCAAACAAGGTCGGAGGATGAAGATCCCGTCCGTTTGTCGCACTACCCGTCGAAGCTGCTGGCTGTGCCCGACCTAAGGGAGACTGTAGCGTTCACGTCGTCACGGCCCACCTGCAAAGCGAAACACAACCTGCCTGAAAGGGCCCGATCAGAACACCGCCGACCTCGAGCAGCCTCCCATGCTTGAGATTGAGAGGGAAGGACAGACGAGAGTAAAGACCGAAGAGAGCCGCCTGTAGAGGTACTTGGATCTCGAGTTTGCGCAGGCGCCGATGTATATCCGATCATAGCCTGAGTCACTGCAGGCCGATGGTCCTGATGAAAATGCGACTGCCGGTTGCTCTAAGCTACCGGCGCATCGTCTCGTTCACATTAAGCTGGTAGATATTGCCAGTCGTGAACTGAATGGTGGTCTTACCTGGCAGGCAACAGTTCGAAGGTCCCAGGCAAGCCGAAGCCACGTCTACGCCTAGCGCAGCTGCACGTTCTTTTGCATGGGCCACCGTCTCTGGCCTCACTTGACAGTCTGCTCAGCCCTGAAGCTGCACTGGGTGGGTCTCTTCTGGGCCAGGCCAGATCTCCACGCCGTGGTTTGCTGCATGGGGCCCCGTAAATTCGGACCTGGCGGCACGTGAGCATGCGTGAACGTGAGTGAGCAGGGGCACCAGGCCGCACAGGCAGACTTTCTCGGGGAGTCTGAGCTCCCAACACGATGGAGTTGAAGTAGCCCGTCCCGGATCCTCGACGGAGCCGACTCGACTCGTGGGTGGCTCGAGGCCATCGAGGCGCGAGCCGATGTTCAGGAAGGACATGCCAGGCCTCGGCCCCATCACAAAATCTCCGCTCTTCTCCAATCTCTTTCGATCTTCGCTAGCCCGTTAGCCACATCCACTCAACATCTCGTAGTGCATCATGGGTGGACACGCTGTCCTTGCTCTGAGACGTAAGTGGCTGGGGTCGCGGCTGGAGAGGCATCAGAGACTCCAGCGCCTGGTGCAGGACAGCCGGTCAGCTTCCTTGAAACTGCCCTGAGACAGCTCGCCTTCCCATAGATGTGTGGTGCGGACAGGTGAAGGCGGCCATGGCGCCTGAGCTTCGCTGGGAGCCCGAAAAGCTTTCAGCGCCGGCTCCCTGGGCCCCAGGCAACGGCATGTCGGCGTAAGCCAAGTCGCCTCCTTGAGCTGGCCAGAAGTGTCCGCGGTCGATGGCCTTCCGAACAAAAAAAGGAAAACCGCCTCTGTAGCGAAAGTGCTCTGAAAGGATTTGGTGGTAAGTTGAACTGGTGCTGTGAAGCTTGCCGTCAGCATCCTACAAATTATTTTACCTCCACGCACGGCTAGCTTCCGCTTTCGATCGCTTTCGATACATTACGACACGTGCAATTGAAGTCAGGTACTTTCACACAAGGCACCCCAGCACTGTACGAACGATGCGTGTCTAGGGACGTCCCAGTGTGCGCAACACTCTCCCGGCCTTGAAGGCGTCGATGCACTCCGTGCTCCGTAGAGCGTGGGAATCCTCGGAGTCTCTGCTCGGACTCTCTGAGCCACACAAACAGTCCCGGGGTCCCGGATCTGCAACCGTGCGGCGACAAGCTCGTCGACCATGGCCTCGTTGTTGGCATTAAGTCCTCTCATTTCCTGCAGAAGCTTTTGAAGCACTGCTATGGCAGATCAGCTCATAGCATGCCGGACTTTCTGTGCAACATCCAGAGAGCAGCTGCGATTCCTCAAACCTCTGTCGTCCGAAGTGGAGCCAAGCTGTATGTGGATCGCCCATCTTCTTCACCTAAAACAGACGACAAAGACAGTTGTGAAAAGACAGACACAAGGCAGACACAGGATGAGATGCCTTCACTGGGCGCACAAGGGGGATCGAAGCTGCTGCCTTCCGCTTGGAAGACCTGCGACTATGTACCTGGAACCGGAAGAACAACCCAGTGATGAGTGGCAACGGCACAGAATGGCACAGAGCAGCTGGCTTGGAAGGCAAAAGCAAATTTGCGGCCGAGGCTCAAAGCAAACCTCGCTTGCCCCCAAGGCCACCCGGCAATCGCGATTGGCCACTTGAGCAGTGCCGCACGGAGTAGTCAGCGCATTTCGTAAGGTCATTGATCTACAAACGAGTTACCAGGCAAAGGAGACAGCATGCAAGGCAGCTCGCAAAATCGAAAAGACCGTAGACTCGCAGCTGCAGCCTTGATTTGACCTGACGTCTTCCCCACTCGCACGGATCTGCTAAGGCTCAGGAAGGTTCAGGCCCTAGTTTGCGGGGCTTTCATGGGCTTGCGCTTGAGAGTCCATTCAGTAGGCGTGTAACGATAGTTCGAGAGTCCTGGTCTATCAACATCCCTGAGACTATGCAAAGCAATGTGAATCGTGACAATAACAATCACAGTTAGAAAAAAAGTACAACCATTTTCCACATGGACGAGCATGACATGTTCCTTGGTGGGGTCTTGTCAGTCGAGAGGTCGCGTGAGCTAATGTTGCCAGTTGGGGCTACATAAGCCGCCACAACACCGCCCCTAAGGGTGTCCGTGGTTGAGAAACGACCAGTTCTTCCGAGTGGTCTGCTTGGTTCTTAACCTTAGAGCATAGACCCTCAAGTAACATCTAGTTTCTTCAAGCCATGCATGAAACCCTAAACACTGAAGACACCCTGAACCGAATACACCGTCAACGTTTCAATCAAAAAGAAAAGTCCAGGCCCATGCCTTGCCGGTGTCTTTTGCAGGCAGCACATTCTTGCCGAGCAAAGCATTCATCGGCGACGCCTAGCCACCCCACGCAGCAAATCCGAGGTAGAGTGGCTTTGAACGGATTCCTCGTCTCAGAATCCGTCTTCAGCATTCGCAAATTCGCAACTGCAGATGTGGGGCCGACAATCTTCCGCCTCCTGCCGGCTCGACTCTCTGAACCCCGCGGAGAGCTGGGTCAGTTCCATCCTGGTGCTCCTTGGCCTCGTGTCCCCGATACTCAGCTGCCGAGTGCTGTTTCACGGCCAGTTCCATCCAGGCAGACTGCGCGACATTGCGGAGGATGACATAGGAATCCCCTCCAGCACAACTTGTGCTTAGCTGCTTTCGCGCTCACTGATGGACGATGAGCGTAGACCGTCTAATCGTCCAAGAATGAGCGCCAAAGCTATGCACAAGGCCACGCATCGCTATCACAGGTGAGCTCGTGCTAGAGCCTACGGCATCCAACAGTAGCCGGATCATGCCTCGGCAGCAGGGACAGCTGGGCCCTGCGACTTCCAAAACTGGTCCCAAATCTGCTGGCACATCACATCTCTGCTGAAGTAACCCAGCCCGGTGAGTGCTTCAGGTCGCCAGCTCCTGATTTTCTCTTGACTGTGTTGTCAGCTGGTTCTTCTTCACGGAACGCAACAGTACCGACCTCCCGGTCTTGTTGTCGGTGCCGGTGTAGTTACCATCCCACTTTAGACCGAAGCCACTGGACTTCTTTTCGGCCCTTCAGTGCCATCTGTCGGTTGAGGTCCCAGAGGTCGTAGTGGGCTCCGCCGCCTTAAGGGCCTACGACATAACACTGGCTGACCCAGGAGGTTCGGCTTCACAGATCCCGTGATTCCCTCAAATCGAAGATATCAAGAAACTTCCTGAGGCAAGACCTGCGCCACCTCCCTGGTGTAGCTGTACGGCTGTCGGAAACGCCGACGCGTGAAGTGGATGTCATGCATCCGCTTGTCCCTGGTCCCAGGGACCTGGTCCACGTCCGGGACTTCGATGCCAAGGCAACGGAAGGCCCTAAACGGCCGAGTCCTTGGAGGTGCCGAAGCCGAAGCCAATGCGGTCCGATCTGAGCCTTTAAATCCCTGAACAACGGAGAGCCGAAATCCCTGCATTGTCAACTGTGGGACAAAGCATTTCCCGAAAGCGCCGTCTGACGTTCCAGACCGGCAGGTGCTGCTGACTTGCACCCAGACATGGTTGACCCCTCCAAACTTGACGGGCCGGGCCGTCAGTGCACCGAAAGCGCTCATCACTGTGCCTTCATGCCATGCCTTGACATGTTCAAGAACAACATCGGAAGCCATTGCTTGCCAACGTCGGGGCATACCACAGCACCGCACACGCTACAGGAACTGATCAACTCTGCCACGAATTAAGCAAACATGTCAGCGATTCTGTCGTGGATCACTAGGACTCAGTCTCCGCTTACATCTCTGCTCATCCTTAATACATCTCGAGCTACAGCTCTGGCTGTGCTTCCCCCGCTGCATATCATATTCACGCCGTGGCAGGCAGCTTCCAAGTGAACTCGCATATTCAGCAACTCGTCGCTCATCTCAGCCAGCAGAGGGCTCAGGAAGTCGCCACATCGAGAACGCATTAAAGTCACCTTGAAAACAGCCGTTCAGAGCTTCGGCTCACGGAAACCCAGCCTGGAACGACCCATTCTGCAGCGATGCCCGAAGCTGCATGTTGGCTGGAGCTCAGTCGTTTGGGTTTGGCTGGAATGGCTACATCTCTCCGGCTCTGCCTGCAGCGATCTCGAACCAGAATGCAAAACTTGAGGCTTCGTCTGTCAAAGCCTAGCATCTAGGCCGCATTGCAGCACAGGGCAATATATTGCAGATGGGGGCAGAAGCAGCTTCGAGATTGCACATGGTTGAGACTGGGCTCTGTTCTCCTCATGGGCATGGCGGTATGAGTCTCTGCCAACCAGTGGCCATACCTGACGCTGGGCACCGGAAAGTGCTCCGCGTTCGGTCTGCTGGCGGTAAAACTGGACAAAAGCCAAGAAGCTCCTTGGCACCTTGATTCGGTACAAGTAGCATGCGCTGAGTCGCCTATGCCCATTGATGACGCTGCACTGCTGGACTCTGGACTGCCCGCATAACTCAACTACCGTCAACTTCTACACGTGCAGCCTGTCTTCACAGGGCAGGGGCGAAAGGTCCATTAAAGCACACCCCTCCGTCCGCCCACAGAGTTCAGATTTAACGCCGGGAGGCACCCGGCTCTGTACCAGGATTTCAGTTCAGCGTATCTGTAACATGCGGGTGACGAGATGACGAGACGCTTCACTTCCTTACATGCTCCCACAAGACATCACATGTGCATGTACAGAACGATGCAAAAGACTCGGTGCATCTCTACATGCTTCACAGGAGCTCGAAGCACTCCTCGAAAGTTTGCCGGATGAACGCCTTATCCAAATCCTTTCCTCGGGCTTTTACTGGCCGCGGCTTTGTCTTGCGACTGTGCTTTTAACCGGAGCCAAGATGCCGATGAACACCATTTTGGTTATTCGCTTCTCTCCAGGGGCCCATGGCTCTGCATCGTCCTCGTCGCTGACGTCCATCACCGCATGAAAGACATGCTTGTATGGGTGGTTCTTGACCGCGAGGATGCCTTTTATCCGGAAGATCACACCTCCATCTCTGGGGCCAGGGGGGGATGAAGCTTCGATTCTCACTCCCAAGCGGGCACCTAACGGACCTAACGCCCCTAGCCCAACCTTGTTCCTTCGGCAGCTGCCCGAGTCTCTCCATTAATTTCCCCAGCTTTTCAGGCAGAACTTCTCCTTCCCGTACGACGGCGAACGAGTTGACTCGGCTGTCGTGCCTGTTGTGTTTGGTCCTGAGCATTCACCCAGCGCCTCCGAAGGCTGGTGTGAAACATGACAGACTGTCGACATCCAGGAACCGATGCACGCCTCCCTCTCTCTCGGCTAGGGGCAAGGGGATTTCCCTCTGTCTATCTTTCTTTCCACAGGGTTGTGGTGCAGGGGGAGACCCCCTACACCGCGCGCAGGTGCGCCCCCGCCATTTGCGGGTGCCAATAGTGAAAGAAGCAAAAGAGGGAAAGTGCAATCAAGTGGATTGAAGGGGTTGCCCCCAGATCGCACAGAAAGGTCCGTCCATCATGCAGGGGGCGAAGCCCCTCAGAAAAGTGAGGTAAAAGACTTCGGGGGGCAACAGCCCCTTTGGAGCGTCTGGAAAAGGTACAGGGAGCCCATGAGGGGCTATGGAGCGAAATGGAGGTTGGCTCAGCGGCCCGTCATATCGTACAACTGAGCTTAGGCTCAAGTGAACTTTACATCAAACATCGGAGAAGGAGGGGCTCAAAGACCCCCTAGTTGGTTTGGAGCGAAAGGACAAGAGTATCCCTGTAGCTTGTACTCACACCGTCTCTGCAAGAACAAGGTCACAGGGAATCCCCCGCAATGTAGCGGGCCGAAACGAAAAACGGACTTGGACGAATTACGAAATGCGAAAAAACCATCTGGGCCGCTCACTTTTCAAGGCTGCTCAGACAGGCGTAGTGCTCGCCCACAGGTACCCCTGTTCAGTAGTCCTCGTTCTGCTCACGACGATCTTCACCAGCTCGCCTACGGTCGAGTTGCCAGTCCCCGGCGCGCCTCTTGTCCCTTCTATGCGACCGGTAGTTCTGCTTCTGTTTGTTGTGTTCTGTATCTTCGCCAGACCATAGCATCTGTCTCAGAGGCGGAGAGGCGGGTGATGTCCCCATCTTCGAAGAGTTGCTGTAGTCGCCGTCGCTGTCTTTCCGTGAGGCTCGGGGGCGGTCCATCCGGTTCTGTAGGTAGTGCGTGAAGGGGATCATCCCCTATAGGTTCTTCTTTTGCCTCACTTTTGACGTCGAGGTCACCGGCCTGGAGGTCGCGGAGGTCTTGCAGGTGTTTTCCGTATTCTCTGTCTGCTTCCTTCTGCATTGGAGT